GAGAATCCAATTAGCTCAGCCTCCCAGACGGCAGCCGCTTCCCAGAGGCGAGGCGAGGCGAGGCGAAGCAGGTCTGCCCGCGGGCGACCGAAGGATTCGCCCAGCCGGCGTGCTGCTGCCCACCCCCGACGGAGAAAGCGCGGCAGCGGGAGAGACGAAGCCCACCTGGGCAAGTGGGCGAGCTGGCGCTGGGCACGGGGCACGTGTCCTTCCTCACGATCCCGGGTTTTCCCCGGTTGATTCTCCCAGACAGATGGAGGAGGAGGCCCACTTTACCCGGGGGGCGCCCGTTCGGGTTTCTACGGCAGATGTGCGCGCGGGTAAAAAAAAAAACCTTGTTTATGCAGTTGTTTACTGAACTCCAATTCCCAGCATCCCCCACCTAGAACGGCCAATGGTGAGCGAGGCTGGGAGTTGTAGTTCAGCAATCTCTGGAGGGCCACGGTCCCGTCCCGTCCCGTCCCCCCAACCAATTGATCTGGCCCTTCTCTCTCTCGGACCATCTCTGATTCTGTCTCCTTTTCCTCTCTAATTCCCTTATGCTGTTTTGGATACTTGTAAACTCTTCCCGGCAGGGACCGGTAAATTGTCTTCCGTTAAATACTTCGCATCCTTATGCGGAAATTAATGATTCTCAAATATAACATATACATAGTTTCCATAGATACGTATACTTATTCTGTACACACACACACACATATATATTCTTTTTAGCTGAGATTAAAGGCTCCATCGCCATCCCCTCGATTAGATCCCCAGTTTCAATGAGTCAACTCAAAGACAATCTGCAGGCATTGGAGGTTTTTATCCGGCCCAATTAGGAATAAAACTACACACATGGAGCCTTTCTTAACTACACTTCCCCACTCCCCATCTGCCTCTTTCTTTGGTTTCATTTTGGCTTCTTCTTGAAGAACTCTGGACCGGACCTTAACGAAGATTGAACTCCTGTTTTCTCGCTCAACTCTGTCCAGATGAAGGTATTTCCCTGATGCGGATTTCTAAGCCTGTGTGTGTCTCTCAGGAGAGGAGCAATGCAAAGCGCTGTCCAGGGTGCTTAACCATTACGGGGTGCCTCTGTGCGGATCTGACGGCGTTTCCACCAGAGCGGAGGCCCAGGAGTTTTGTTTTTTCTTCCCCACCCCCACCCCCAAAACCCTCCCTCTCTTCACACACATGTACATACAAACACACAAATGATATGCACTGAAAAAAGAGGGAGCGGGTGTGTTGGTGTGTGCCTGTACACACGCACGCGGCGTGGAAACATCGGAAGTCCAAAGATGTCCCCGCGTGGCCTTGCGTGCGTCTTTGTCCAGAAAGGATCCAAGGAGAATAGTTCGCTTCGATCTGGTCGCGTCCTTTCTTTGCAAGGAACCCACCCGCTTTCCCCTCCGCAGCTCGGGCCTCTTCGAAAGAGCAGCCGGGCTCCGGGGTGTGTGGGGTGTGTGTGACAAGCTGGCTCTGGCCCAAATGCCGCTCTCTTCCCCCCCCCCTTTAATCGGATTAGCTGGGAAAGGAAGATCGGCCACATTCCACCCGCGCTGCCGCTCGCAACCCGCTTCCTTAACCGGAGCCAAAGTGGGCAGCGCCACCGGCTTTGCAGAGAGAGCCACCGAGGCGGCTATTTCCCCCGGATCGGGCCCCGCCTCGTTCCTTTGCCTCTCCCCCCCCTCCCCCCCACGAAGGCCCGCTCGGCCCTTTGCCTGCTCCGAAAGGGGTGTGGCCAGAGAAGGACGGCGTCTCGCGGAGGGCTGTGCTGGGAGATTCCGGAGCGCCGGGCCTGGTTAGCTTTTGGATGGGAGGCCACCAGGGAATCTCACGACTATAGATTGCAATGGGCGGTGCGGGGATGGGGGTGGGGAGAGGAGGAGGGGAACATCAGGGAAGAAAGCAGCGCAAGCTATTTGTGTAACGTACAAAGAAAACTGCCCGGTCGTTTCTGTGTAATCCAGCAACGGGGTTTCTTTCTTTGGATGCCTATGAAAATCCGAAGAAAGATCAATTTGGTGCCTCGTTGTTGTTGTTGCTGTTTTTTTTAAAGACAGGAGTATAACTAGAAGCGCTTCCCCAACCACCAGCCATTTCGAAATGCCATGTCCTTGCTGGACCATTCATGTCACCTCTCTTTTATTCCTTTTTCGTTTTCCTTTCCATGCGTGGTTGCCGTGCGGATCGCCCTTGAAGTAAGGCTGTGTTTTTGTCGTGATCGGGGGTTAAAATATTAAAATATTGTCGAACGAATAAATATATGAAATAAATAAACCAGGGGCCTCTGTTGTTGATTATGGGTTCTCGAAAGTTTTCCCCAAAAACTATACTTTAAAAAAAAAAAAAAAACCGGTAGCCTCTTTTGGGAATTGCTCCGAGGACCTACATCGCCTTCAAACCCTGCACTGCAAAGAAATAGGAAGCACCCCATAAGAGAAACGAAATCTTAATTCGGGCTTCCGTTGCTTTGGGGGTGGAGGGCTTGAGGCTGGATTCCCGGATAGCGAAAGGAGAAAGCAGAAAGGCTACGATTTGCAGGTCATAAATGGGGGCGACCTGCCTTTGCTATGTCTGAGACTTGTCATATCTAAGCAGGCCTCCTTTCAAAAGGAGAGAGACGGGTGGCCATAGTCTCTCTCAGCCACGCTCTCCTTGCAGGCCGAAAGTGGCCATGGAGACCTTGCATTTCCTTCCATCTATCGGGAGTGAAAAATCTCCAGAACCTGCTGCCGTCTCCGCAGCCACCGCGAAAAGTGGGCAGGGTATGAAACCGAGGCGCCCCTTCAGCAGTCCCGCTTGAGTCTGGCTCAGAAGCCAAAGGAACCAGCAGAAGCCTGGTTGACGGCAGCCTCAGTCCGGCTTCCAGGCGGGTCCCAGGATTCGCCCAACCAGCTCAGGATTGAGAAACCCTTGACCTCGGTTCCAAATGCAAAGGTGGTATTTAATAACCACTTTGTTCCTTTTCCGAAGAACGATTGCCTTGGATACAATTATCAAATTATTTTGGATCCTAATAACAACTGTTCTTCTCAGAAGAACCGTATCTGTTTCAATCTATAAATAAATAGATTTTTAAAAAAACACCTTAAATTAAAAAAACATCCTACCATTGGAAAATTGCGTTGTTGCTGTTTTAAAAAAAACCAACCCAACCCAAATAGTCTTAAATATTAAGAAATACATGTTAAGAGGTGAAATTGATTGTTTTCCCTCTTGAGCTCTTCTAGAAAAAGCGAATCAAAAGGGAAGAAAAGAACTGGAGGAATGGATGGGGGGGGGGAAAGGAAGGGCGAAAGTCTCCCGTAGTATTGCAGCCTTTTCTGTGCAATAAACCCAATAAACTCCACAGGTCTGTTTGCATTTACTGTTGCCACTTAAATTATTCAGTGTGTTGCGGTAATTGAATCCTAAGCTTTAAAAACTAATATACTCCCTCCTTGTCACCGCTTTTCTGAATCATGAAATCCGCCCTAACAGGTGCTGATCAAATACTATTACATTCTATTAAAAAGAAAATTCTATTCCCTGTTTTCATTTCCCTTTATAAAGGGGAAACTAAGTAAATGCATTTGAACGTTATTTAATTTTTAACGCTTTTAGTCCAATTTGGACGTTAGGGAGCGTCTCCAAACTCACAAAACCCGGGCAGCGTGGCAATAAATTGGGTTGACATAAATTAATCCAAAACGGAATCTCTTTTTAGGGTGCTCCCTTTCTCTCCTCCCCCCAGCTTTTGCAATCGAGGGGCTGACCCAAAGCAAAGGCTAACTAACCCCACTGAAGGAGAAGTGAACCTTTTTTCTAAAGAGGCAGAAAGAATTGGGAATAATAATAATAATAATAATAATAATAATAATAATAATAATAACAACAACAACAACAACAACAACAACAACAACAACAATAATAATAATAACAACCATAATAATCATAATCACAGAAAACCAATGTCCTGACGAGCGAATGAAAGCAGATTTAAAAAGAAAGCTTCCATGGAATTGTGTGTTTGTTTTTTTTATGCAGGCCGGTCTGTATTCAAGCTTCTCTAAGGGGAAGTACTTGGAAATGTTTTTTTGGGGAGAGGGTTAATAGAAAGGGGACAGACCCGTTCCCTGTTTCTTCAGGAAAACGCTCACAATTGTTATAAACCGGTTGTAATCTGTTAGGTACTTTGAGAATCTGCATACACGCACCCACACTTATGCATATCTGTATATGTGTGTTTTCCAGCACGTCCTGTGTCTCTAAAGTCAATTCCCATTATCAAATGCAATCTGCGATTGGGAACCAATGTCCGCTTTCCAGGCCATCCAGGTTTTCTCGGAGCACCAAATTGGATTTATAGCCCTGGAAAGTCTTGTTAGGCCTGTCGTTTTAAGAGGGGCCAAAACAAAAACATAAAAAAAAAAAAAAAACCAAGGAAATTGTAAAGGATTTTGTGTGTGAAGAAGGAGAGCGTTGGATTTCAAATTCAGGCTCTGGGCTTTTTCAATCCAGCCTCCCCCCCACAGGAATATCTTCCAAGTGGAACTGGTCAGTTCCAAATTCGGGTGGAGCGTCCCAAGGCATTTGGTGCCTCCACTTGGTGCCTTCTGGGGGGCCCTTCCTTCCCGTAGGATGGGTTTATAAACAAAGAATGGTAAAGTAGATTTTAGGTGGATCCCCAATTAATCCCCCCGCGGTGGGTGGCTCTCGGAGGGGGGGGGCGAGGCTCCACATCCCCAGCCTGGAATTCTGCTCAACTCGCCTCTTGGTTAATGATTCGGGGGAGTGGAAAGGAGGGAGCGGCTCGTCTGGTAATTGCAAAGGTTTGTTCAATTTCATCCGGCTAATTTCGAAAGACAACCGTCGCAGATGCGCATTGCAATATCCGCCCCACATTAGCTTAGCTAATAAATTTGACCTATTGTGCGTTTGTTAAAATGATGTCACCATGGAACAGTCCCTAAGCTCCTATTCCAATGAATTAGGCCTTTATTGAAACCCGGGAGCCAATGGGAGGAGAGAGGCTTGTTTGTTGTGGCCAATGGCAGCTGTCGGAGAGAAATTAGAAGCAGAAACTCAAGGTTTGGTTCAAAAAAGATGACACAGAGCCTGTCGGGCTGGACCACTCTTGGCAAAGTTTCAGTGTGACATCTATACAAACCAGGACCTTACATGGATCTACTGTAAAAAAGGAAGGGAGCGTTTTTTATAGGGGAAATCTTGCCGGGCGTTTTTTTTTTTCCCTCTCTCTCCCCTCTCCCCCCCGATTGAGCCAATATTTCTATTCACCAAGGATGGATCAGCCAACGAACACGCAGACACCGCATCAACACGAACCCATCAGCTTCGGGATTGATCAGATTTTAAATAGTTCTGATCAGGAGACCCCTTCCCAGCCCGCCCCCCGAGGATCAGACGGCGGCACCAATTACCTGGGCAGCCCCGTGAGCAGCAGAAGCAGCGCCCCGTACCCTTCCCTCCCCGGCGCCTTTGCTGGCATCGGGGCTCCCTTCGAAGACTCTGGATCTTACAGTGTGAATCTCAGCTTGGCTCCATCTGGCGTGATCCGGGTGCCAGCGCACAGACCCATCCCTGGGGCAGTGCCACCTCCAATTTCTAGTGCCATTCCAGCCATGCCAGCTGTACCCAGCCTTGGCAGCCTCAACTTCCCTTGGATGGAGAGCAGCAGGCGGTTCGTCAAAGACAGATTCACAGGTAAGCGGCGGCGGCGGCGGCGGCCGGGTTGGCGAGCGTTCTCAGGTAGACGGCCGCCCGGTGAGGTTGGGTCTCCTGCGCGGAGGGAGCGGGCGGGTGTGAGAGAGAAATTGGCTGCTTCATCGCAGCCTTTCTCCGGCGTAGAAAAAGAAGTTTTTTAAAAATATAGGCGTGTGATCCTTAGGAAAATTGGCCGACCGGTTCTGCGGGCTTCTCTATTTTCTTTTCCCTGGCAAACTGCATATCCAGGCGTGAAAGTGTGATCAGTTTGGGTGGTCCTGTTTCAGGACCACAAAAGGGGATGTCTTGAGTTCTTCCAGAGCTCGAATGGATCTTTCCTTTCCTCGCCCCATAAACCAACACGGTCAAGGGAGGAAATCTTAAATCTCGCTCTCCTCAAAATGAGAAACCCTCCGGATGATTTTCTCAGGCCGGTGTGGAAGGGCGAAAGGAAGGCGAGTAAATGGCTGTGTCTAATCCGATTACAGCATTAGCGCTAGAGATGGAAGAGGACGATAAAGAGAACAAAAGAAATTTATAAAGATTTAAGTACTTCCAATGAAAACAGGATTAAGCCAATTAGGACGAGGCAAGCAGGGGTTGAAGTGGATACGGTTAGCTTCACCTTGTAAAGCGGCTAATCAGACCACAAGTTCTGAATGTGCTGTGTCTCTTCAACACAATTTATATTTGTGGGTAAAAGGGGGAAACGTTGCAGCGGGTGCCTGAAAGTTACTATCAATAACTTTCATGGTATGTATTTTTTTCAAGAAGGAAATATACGGGAAATCCCTAAATCCTTTGTAGTAGTAGTAGTAGTAGTAGTAGTAGTAGTAGTAGTAGTAGTAGTAAAATAATAATAATAATAATAATAATCATAATCATAATAATCATAATCATAATCATAATCATAATCATAATCATAATAATAATGGTGGTTGTTCTTATAATTATAACAATAATAATTATAATAATAATTTATTATTATTAATTCAGAAGAAATATGCATAATAGCTAGGATGGGTTTGTAGACACGTTTAGAATCCCTGGGTGAGTCGATTTTTCGCTGCAGGGCCAACGGGAGACACCAGAAAACAAACGAAACAAAAACAAAGCAGGCCAAACGCGATTCGGTGGCCTTCTTTCCTCGTTTCGGAGGCGGGTGAGGAGAACTTTTCCGTCTCAAGCTGGGCCCTCGTCATTTCCCACTGCCAAAGCCGGCGTTTGGCTTTGCCCTTTGAGCTAGAGATCATTGCTCCATTTTTTAATCTAAAAAAAAAAAAACGGATTTCTTTTTGTTTTCATACTACTCCGGTTCTCCTGTGGCACAGCCTCTAGGAATAGACACCCCCTCCACACACACACACACACACACACACAATCACACACACCTTCTTCCACATTGTAGGTCTTTAATCGATCCGGAATTGCTTCGCTTCCCTCCCTACAGCACCCCCAGCAGGGCTGACACAAGGGGCGGGACAAGTACACGGTGTCGGTGAGGGCGGGCGGGGGAGGGCTGTCACCTGCCACCGAGCACCCAGCCCCTCCGCCCAACCCAGCCCCCCGCATCCCCCAGCCGTGGGTGCTGCGGGCCGCGGGGCTTTCCGAGAGGCTGCTGCGGGTCCTTCCCCGAGTCCGTGCCTCGGAGTCTCACTCGCTGGCCGCCTGAAAGGGGCGGAGGAGAAAGCAGCGAGGTTACAGGTTGAAGGGGGCCCGCTTGGGCCGGCGCCACTCTCAACCCCACCTCCCCAACCCGGCGCCCGCCCCGGCTGACTCGCTCTCTCTTTCTGTCGCAGCGGCGGCGGCTCTGACGCCCTTCACGGTGACGCGGAGGATCGGGCACCCCTACCAGAACCGCACTCCGCCCAAGCGCAAGAAGCCGCGCACCTCCTTCTCGCGGGTGCAGATCTGCGAGCTGGAGAAGCGTTTCCACCGGCAAAAGTACCTGGCCTCGGCCGAGAGGGCGGCGCTCGCCAAGTCGCTCAAGATGACCGACGCCCAAGTCAAGACCTGGTTTCAGAACCGCAGGACCAAGTGGCGGTGAGTCCCGCGGACGCGCGCGGCTGGGCCTGGCATCGACCGGGTGGGGTGGGGTGGGGTGGGGGTCGCTGAACAGGGGAAGCGGGTTGGGCCCTCTCGGGGTTTCTCCTTTCGCTTCCCTTCGCAATCCTCGCCCGGCAACCTTTTTGTGAACTCTTTAGGCCTGGCCCATGGCCCACTCTTTAGGCCAACCCGCTTGGGAGCCCGGATTTGCCGCCTTCTCCCTCTCCTCCTCTCCTCCTCCTCCTCCTTGCATTGGACCCTCGGAGCGCAGTGGCCTAAAAACCTGCTTGGCCGGAAGGATGCCTTGCGGGAGGCTGAGCAAAGGATCGCTTTAGTACAACGACCGGTTTGAGTTTTGGGGGAAAGAGTTGGATGATCCCAGGCAATCACGAGAACTTCCATATAAACCACCTTCACAGAAACGTAGCTTAGCGCGCCGAGCCCGCGAATCACGGAAAAAAAATTCTCTTAGGATAGGTCCAAGCCTCCTGCCCCGAATCCCCAAGGCCCGTCCTCCTGCCACCTTCCTTCCTCTATGGGGGTGTTTTAGTGAGGCAGCGTCTGTAAAAGAAAAGGGCTCGTGGAAACCAGGGCGAGGCTGAGCCACAAAAGGGCCGGGGGCGTTTGCAGGCCGAGATGCGAGTTTGCCCCCTCTGCGGGCTCAAGAAGCACAGAGGGGCGGCGGGCGGCGGAAGCCCATTTGCTTTTCGACGGAGGGTGAAAGATTGGCGGCTCCTTATCGATAAGCCGAGGTCCTTTAAGCGCAGGGCGTTTTATTTTTTATTTTTATTTATTTTTATATGCCGCCCTTCTCCGGAGACTCAGGGCGGCTTACAATGCGTTAAGCAATAGCCTTCATACTTTTGTATATTTTATGCAAAGTCAGCTTATTGCCCCCACAAACTGGGTCCTCATTTCACCTACCTTAGAAAGGATGGAAGGCTGAGTCAACCTTGAGCCTTGAGTTTAATACCAGGTTGCCCTTCTGGATGAGCGTTGGCTTTTCAAGGCTCAGAGAGTCTCAGAAGGGGAAGGGGGAAGAACGAGAAAGGCGTTCGCGCGTGATGCTCAGGGCAGTTCTTGAATCTGATCCTGCCATTGCACCATAGGAAAGTTATCCCAGTCTTGCAAGCTTGGCCAACGGGGCAGATGATTTAGTGGGGTCCGGAGGTGCTTCGGTTGAGCGCGCAGTGTTGGAGACGGGCTTAAACCACTAAAAAAAATCCCCTCTTCGGAGATCAGCGAGCCCGGCTTCAACTCCCGGCTGAGAATTGATCTTCCCTAATATTTAGCGGCCCTCTCCTGAATCGGTCGCAGAACAGAGCTGCCCGTTGTCCGTTTGATGGGCCCGGAGGCCTGGCTGCCGTGGGGAAGCTGGGAGACTGGGGTCAACAGGCTGGGGAAAGCGGAGAAAGGATCTGGCTGGTTCCCCTGCGCGGGTGGTGCCCCCGAATAGCTTCCTTACTTGATCCAAGCGCCTTCGGTTCTTCTCCGCGGCCTCCAGCAAGAATGGCTGAGGAGATGAGGAACCTTGCGCGAATGTCAAACGCCCGGCGAGGGGAGAGACGTTCCTGCCCACCCACCCATCGTTTTTAGAACCCGTTTTCTCCCAGGGCAAAAGGAGAGGGAGGCAAGCCTGGCCCTTGCCCGACCCAGCGGTGCCAATTCCCAAATGGCAGGTGCCCAGCTTGGTGCTAATCATAATATCAACATCTTGCGACGGTACTTTTAACACCATGGAACAACAAACATCTGCCTATCTCGGGTTATCGGGAAAGACTCGATGAGGTGGACAAAAAGGCCAAACCCAGTTTAAACATCTGGCTTGACTGCGTGACGAACAACAACAACAACAGTAATAATAATATACATTAACAGTTCCTAGGTCTTTGCTTAGGACTCGAGCTGCTGAGCTATTAACCAGCCTCAAAGGCTGTGAATCTCACTAAAGATATAACAACAACAACAACAACAACAACAACAACAACAACAACAACAATAATGTTTAATTTATCTGCCGCACAACTCGCAGCGACTCTGGCCCAGCAACTTTCCCAAACCCACAAAAACTTAAGAGTCTTCGTTCCGCGGCTGGAAGGTGTCGGTCCCCGACTGGAGTTGAAAACGACCTTTTCCCTCAGATTTCCCAAGTCTTTTCTCCAGAGCCAGAGGGTCTCCCAGCCTGCAGGGAGTGGGAAGGGTCTGGATCCCTCTCGGGCTGGCCTTTTTTGGCCGCGTCCGCTGTGGAATCTCCCCAAACAGCAACCCCCCTCCCCCGCCTCGGTCCAGTTGCAAAGCCTGCCGCCGTTTCGATTTCGGTTTTGTTTTGTTTTGTACTGCGGGACCTTCAGCTGAATAGGCTGCCCTGGAAATAGCAGCTGAGAGGGAAAGCCCTCTTTCCGTGTTTCGGGTTGAAATCTCGGGTGAAGTAAAAACCCAAGAAGGATAAAACGGGCGCATGAGAATTATTGTTGCTGTTATATATTAGTATATTAATATACTAATTAGTATAATTAATTAGTATATTAATATACTAATAATACAATACTATTACTCTCCCCTTATGCTGATATTTCCTTTTAATAATAAAATAATTGCTAATGCTGTTAAAGCTCTGCTAATGCGGGTTTGCGATGTACTTATGCCTCGGTTTGCTTCTGTGCCGGTTTGGGTTTACCCATCCCCATTCCAGGCCCAGTTCTCTGCACAAAATCCAGGAGGCCTGAGGCCAGAAGGGCCCTGAGCCACTGAGACTTACCGGAACGGCCCAGGTGGCCTTTCCACTCAAAACCTGCTGGCCGGATCCGAGCTCTTAAAATCTTCTCCGCGGGTTTCTACATAATCCACTTCTTTAGTTCTAGTTAGTTTTTTTCCCCCTTTGTCTTTTGCACCAGTTTGCCTTTTCCGACACCTACTCTATTTGTATCCTGGGGATTTTTCCCCCCCTGTTCTGAATTTACTTTTCTTCTTCAAGACGTTGTATTACCAAACTAGGGAACGCCATCAGTGCTCTCCCTTGAGACATGGGGTTGGTGATTGCTTATAGTTAGCAGTTTGCCCTACCGGTTTTGTAGCGGGACATTCTCTTATATATGCGCGCGTGTAGTGCGCGCGTATTTTTTTCGATTTGTAAAGCCGTCTAATCGCAATGCCTTTGTCGGTTTTACTAATTTACAGAATCCGAGGACAGGGACTTTGGTTCGGCTCAAGTAATTGGCAGACTTCACTCTCTCGGAAGTCACGGGGGTTCCGTGCGTTCAGAAAAAGTGCAAGACGTTCAAAGATGGGAGATCTTTGGGGCGGGAAGGGAAGGAGCCGCAAATCACGCGAATCTTCCTCCGACCGTCGTCGGAACTCGACCCGAAAAATGAGCGTTAGCAACCCAGGGGGCCCCAAGTGACATTATACCCGCCAGTGGAAAATTAATTACAAGGACTCGTTTGTGAGCCTTTTAGAAATAGGGGAGAAGAGGCATTCAGGAAACTCTCCCGTTTGTTTCCCACATCATTCGTCAGCAACCATTCTCACGACCCGCTTTGCAAGCCTCGGTTCGGGTTTTAGAAAGTCGCGGGGAAAAAATCGTCGGTCGTTTGCTGGCCTGGTTGGAAATCGGAAGAAAAAGGTTTTTCTCTCTCGAAAACCAGTTTGCCTCTCTCCCACTTTTTGTGGTTCTGGTTTTTTTTGACTTCTGCGTTGTCTTCTGCGTAATCCTTGTTTAATTTTGGTCTGGCTTCTGGTCTACCTTGGAAAAATCTGTTTTACCCTCCGGTTTAATTTTTGGCAGATGCACGCATTTTTTTTTTTTTTAGTCGTATTGGGCCAGGCTGGCGCAAAGGTGGGGAGAAGACTAAGAACACAGGGAAAGCGGATCGGGGCCCGGCGCTCCCCGGGGTACCAAGTCCAAAGGGAGGCCCCCGAAGGCGCTGTGCCCCCCTCCTCCTCCTTGCCCAGCGCTAACAGCAACTGCGCCTAGTCCATCTCCAAGTAAATACCGGTATACACTGGTATTTTGCGCGACCCCGATCTTCAAATCGCTTATTTGTCTCTGATGACAGGAAAAAAAATGAGTGGTTACTATTATTATTATTATTATTATTATTATTATTATTATTATTATTATTATTATTATTATTATTTCTCACCTTTCTGAGCCCTGTGACGAAACACGACGAGTATAATGCAGCAGCATTCCCACAAAATTCAAGCCCCCAGGTTCGGAAAGCCATTTTTCGACATTTTTTTTCTTCTGCCTATGCGAATAGCCCTGTTCAGTCCCAGCCTTCGTTGGTTTGATCCGGAACGGAACTTCTGGTTTTGCTCCGGACTGGCCCGAGTGCTTTCCATCAGGGAAAGGTTTTCGGGGGCAGGAGGCTTTTAACGTTTGATTCGAAAACCGTGTTTTTGTTTTCGTTTTCGCACGTATTTATGTAGGTACCTATATACATGTGTGTACACATACACACCCACCCCTCCCTTTTAGTGCTTATGCGTGCGCCGCACGACGGACAATAATTAAAACGCGATTAAATGAAAAAGGGACCCAAGAAAGGAATTGCCTTTCCCTCCCCCCACAATCCTCTGATTGGATCGCAGGATTTAAAAAAACAAAACAAAACACCCTTCGCGACTTGCCTGGGGCGCCGTGCCTCAGTTTCCCAGCCCACCCAGAATTTCCCCAGGAAATACTCGGGGAAAGAGAGGCACTTCCGAGGTATCGAAATTCGGGAAATCCAGGCTGTGGCTATTATTATTATTATTATTATTATTATTATTATTATTATTATTATTATTATTATTATTATTATTATATATATATTATATATTATTATATAATAATTATATATTATATATTATATAATTATTATTATTAATAATAATAATAATAATAAATATTTAATAATATTTAAATAATATTTATTTATTATGGGGAAAGACGAGTGTTGGGATTTGATTTCCAATTCTTTTTTCGAGCGTGGGGAGGATGGAGGACAAGATAGGATTGGAGGGAGGGTAATGTACCAGCCAAAGAAACCTCACAAAGGACGGCGGCGAACGGCGGCGTCGATTTTGTTCGCCGGCCTTTCGGGAAAAGGAATAAAAGCGGATGATCTCAGCAGCCGCGATTTTTGTGCTTCTCGGTCGCTTCTGTAGCGGAGGAGCCCTGGGTCATTTTCGAAGTTTCATGGGCCAGGAATTGAAACGCTCACTATTTGGGAAGAAGGAAGGAAGGAAGGAAGGAAGGAAGGAAGGAAGGAAGGAAGGAAAGAGAAAAAGAAAGAAAGAAAGAAAGAAGACCGGCGCTCGCACATCATAGCTCGATGAACTTTGGTTTATTAAAACTTCTTTTGATCATACAGCTTAAGTTTATTCAGCGACCTTCTTTCTCCCGACACTCTGATCCATAAAATAATCCTCTTTTGATTACAATCACAGCCGAATCCAACCAACCGCTCTTGACAAAAGTTTCTCTACGTTGAACCCCGCGGCGGTTTTCATCAACCTTAATCGCCTTGAACTCAGAAACCCTCGCGTAGGCCGGATCGGCCCAAAAAGGTTATAAAGTACTAAGTCCGGGCGGCCTTTCCTGTCGCGCGAAAACGATCCAATCATCGCCCCCCCCACCCCCAGGCGGAGCTCCTGGTGGCCGTAACTACGGGGCTCCCCTTACGGCTGTTCCCCTTTCCGACCATTGAGTCCCACTGACCTAATGAGAAGTCGTCGACCCCGCCCCCCTCCCGCCACGGTGCCCTTCCCCCCCCTCCAGCCTTGGGAATTGGGGTGGGCGGTGGAGGGTAACTTTCTCGTTCTACCCATCATGAGTTTTCTCCTTCCTCGGTTAGCCGCCGCCGCCTCCTCCTCCCTCCCTCCCTCCTCCTCCTCTTCTTCCTCCTCCCCCTCTTCCTCCTCCCCCTCCTCCCCTTCTTCTTCCTCCTCCTCCTCCTCCTCCCCCTCCTCTTCTTCTTCCTCCTCTTCCTCCTCCTCCTCCTCTTCTTCCTCCTCCTCCTCCCCCCTCCTCCTCCCCCTCTTCCTCCTCTCCCTCCTCCCCTCCTCTTCTTCCTCCCTCTTCCTCCTCCTTCCTTCCTTGTCCTCCTTTCCTTCCTCCTCCCCCTTGCTTCTCCTTCCTTCCTTCTTTCCTTCCTTGCTTGTCCTCTTTTCCTTCTCCTCTTCCCCCTTCCTCCTCCCCCTTGCTACTCCTTCTCCTTCCTTCCAACTCCTCCCCCTCCCCCTTCCGCTCTTCTTCTTCTTCCTCCTCCTCCTCCTCCTCCGCGTTTTCGACTGACCCCGTGGAACTACCCCTGAGACCCTCCTCTCTATCAGTCCCCCTTGCTGGCCGGGCCCGTTGATCTAATGGGTATTGGGGGCGCAAGTTGGAGACCGGGCCGGGCAGGCAGGGAGAGAGGGAGGGAGAGCTCAGGGCTGGTGGGCGACTGGCAAAGCCGGGGTCGGGAGCCTGATTTCTGTGCTTGGCGTCCGCAGGAGGCAGACGGCGGAGGAGCGGGAAGCCGAGCGGCAACAGGCGAGCCGGCTGATGCTGCAACTTCAACACGACGCCTTCCAGAAGTCGCTCAACGAATCGATCCAGCCCGACCCGCTTTGTCTGCACAACTCCTCGCTCTTCGCGCTCCAGAACCTCCAGCCGTGGGAAGAGGAAGCCTCCAAGATCCCCCCCGTCACTTCCTTGGTGTAAAGAGGGCCGTCCGGGCGGAGGGGCCCCTGGGAAGGAGAGGCCAAGCGGCCCGGCCTCCGCCTCTCCCCGCATGACCCCAACCGCTACGGAACGTGTGAACCGGCGGGGGGTTGGCGCCTCGAGGAAGAGGGGAGCGGCAACAAGCCACGCCGCGTCTCTCTCACACACACCCCCCGTCTCGCTGCCCGGCTGGGCTCGGACCCGGTCCCAGGCCGCGGCTGCGAGGATTTGCGGGAGTGGGGGGGGCTTCTCTCGGCCCGGGAGCTCCGCCCTCGCCCCGCCGGCCCCAGCACTTTGGACTGAGCCCGGCCGCCCTCGCTCCTTCCAGCTCCAGACTTCCCCGACAGCCAGAGCGAACTTCTCCAAGGCTGGTGAAGGAAAGGAGCCGAGACCCGCTGCTTTCGCCCAACTTTCTCCCGTCGAAGAAACTTGGCAATCGGACCTTTGCCCCCCCCCCCCACTTCCCGGGGTGGGGAGGAGGCTTCGGGCTGCTCGAGAAGAAAGCGGAGACCCCCCCCTCGCTTCTCTTCTTCCGGCGGGGTTTGCTGGGGAGGGGTAGGTTTAAAACGTGGGGGAAGACTTCGCCGGATGCCCCCACGAAGGCCTGTTTTTTTTTCCACCCGAGGATTCTGGAGGTGGCCCCCGCCTCGCCTCGCCTCGCCTGCCAATCCTGTCGCTTAGGGTCCATTCGGAGGAAAAAAACTAAGAAGGAATAGAGAGTCACCTTTTTAAAAAAAATTATTATTATTCTTTGTAAGAAATGTTAATAGTTTAATTTATTTAATGCACCAAGATGCCGAGCACTGTTAATATGGAGGCAGGGGGAGAGAAAGACTGGATCTTGGTTATTTATATGGAGACCAGAACAAACACTACAAAGAAGTGGGTGTGTATGTGTGAGTGGGTGGGTGAGTGAGTGAGTGCTCTGTGCCTGTGTGAGAGGGTAATTTTTGGCCAAGGCTGGCCTTTATCTTGGATGGTCAATCATCTGGCTATCCTGCCCCCAGGAAATCATTCTGCAAAGGAAAATATATATGTATGTATATATATATATATACATATATCCTAAGGACATATATATCTTAAGGACAAACCTGCTGCAGTGAAAAAGCAAGCCACCCCCAGCTGTCCCCCAGGCAAACCCTGTCAGTAATTTATTCAACATGGTAATAAGGGCTCCCCTTTCAAAGAAACCCCAATCTCTCTCTCTCTCTGGCAGGCAAATGAACATTAAGGTGGAGTGGGGTTGTTGAGGGAGATGAAAGAGGGGAAGAAAAGGAAGGAAGGAAGGAAGGAAAGAAAGAAAGAAAGAAAGAGAAAGAATTAAAGAAAGAAAGAAAGAAAGAAAATTGGTTTTAAAAACATTCTTGGCATGCTACAATGCCCGTTGTCCAAAACTCATTACAGAGAAAGCGCCTTATGTTTCATAATACTAATAATAATTATACTGATAATTAAAATAAATACTAAGGAAAGTTGGGGTTAATGCAGACCATGTATAATACTTTGTACTTGCTGAAATGTGTAAATAAATGTTTTCTTTAAAAATGTTCCTGGTCTGAGCTGTTATGAATAAAGGCCTGAGGAAGCTACATCCAAGTGCCTCCATAGGTTGACTTGGACTCCCATCAGTCTTAGCCATCAGCCTCAGCCACCATGGCATCAGTTCCAAAGGACTATGGGAGCTGTCAAACAAAATGCTTGGAGAACAGCCACTTCTTTTTCTTGCCAACCATGGCCACTTTTACTGTGAGTGGTGATGGTTCCAGGTAATGGTAGCTGGAGTTTATCAATGCATACGGAACCTATTCTTGATTCTGCTCCAACTGGCAGCCACTATCCAGGCATGGTGGCAAAGGCTTTTTCCATCACCTTCTACATGGCATATACTTAGGAGTAAACCTGAGACTTTATGCATGCTATGGCCTCCATGTCTCAAGATTTATGAGTGACCTAAACTCTTAAGTTGCTCTAGATTTCCTCTTTTTCTGGAAAGAGGTAGAAAATTCTTTCTCATCTATGGCCTCTTCTGTAGAACTGAGTGTGAAGGACCAAACCAAGACCCAGCCTACTCCCAGCAGGTATTTGTCAATAAGCTGCAGTTGAAAGTGTTTGTCCTGAGATGCGCCCACTGCAAGACATCGTGCTGTTTGAGATAAATAGGATAATCCACGGCAGTTTGGATTTTATTTTGAGATAGCATCGAAACCTGACACCACGAACAAAAGCCCATAAGGGTGTCAAGTAAATGTTAACTCATGCTGAGGATGGGATATAGGCTTCTATAGCAGCCAGCTTTGATGAAGATGATGATGCAGGATGGACCCTGAAGTTTGCCAAACCTTAAGTCTGCCACTGGTTCCAGTAGCTTCCCATTGCTTCCTTGTTCCGTATGACGATTCTGTCTACCTGATTAATCAAACAGCCTGGGGAGCCTTTCTTATAGTCTGTCAGACCTTGGTGTCACTTTGCTAAATTCCTCATAGTGTTGGGGTTGAGTGTGGAGATATGGCTGGATAAAGAAGGCCTGTATTTTGAAGGTGAGCTATAGGTGCTATACAAATCCCTGGCAAAATGACACCAGAAGAAGCTGATGGGGGTGTTCAATTCCCATTGTGTCATCTGGTCCTTATACTGTAGAATCCGGGCTTTCATCTTCTACCCAACAATCTTGACTACTGATACCGGCAATCTTGCCTGCATTAGTATTACTGGGAAATGACTAACTCATGAGGATGGGTGAGAAGAATGGGGGGAATTTAACTTTTGTATGGGATATTGTTGCATTGTTTTATTCTCTGTTGTAAGCCGCCCAGAGTCCCTTGGGAATTGGGCGGCATAGAAATGCGACAAAATAAATATATAAATAAATAAATAACATTCCTTTCTACAGCCCTGGAAGGGTTCCATGAAGTTCAATCCAGCTCCGGCTTCACAGCAATTCACAATGATTGTACGCCTCTGTTGTAGGTCCCGATTAGTACTCGTCTTCTGGTTTCTTAACAGAGAGGTTGACAGATTCAATCGGCCAGATGATCAGCCCAGATCTTCTCTTCTTGAAAGGTGTAAGAGTCCTCTTTCCCCCCCCCAACAGATGGACTATCATGCCCGAGGCAGTGAAATACAAGAACACCAGTATTGCCTCTTTTTTTAAAAAAAAAAAAAAGCAGAAGGGAACAGTGTATGTATAAATTATTAATTCATAATACAGGAAAAGAGGATGCACCAAGTGAAGACTGGACTCTTTGTCTTAACCTAATGACTGCTCTGTCTCTGGAGTCGTTCCTCAGCCTGCAAGTAGGGGCATCACAGGACTGAATGCTCCTTTTAAGTGTTTAAAGAACAAGCTTGTCATGGAGAAGACTTGGCTGGGGTTTTGCCTTTCCCCCTTTAATTTGGCTTCTCCACAAGGCTCCCAACAGGGATGGAGGAAAGCAGGGAAGCTGATGTCAGCCATGCTGTAATGGTATCTGGGAAAGACTTTGGGAGAAGGGTGTGTGCATGAAGAGAGACTGTCTAGGAAATGGTCAGATTAAAAAAAAAGGGCACAGTCTGTAACTGTGTTACAGGAAGAGAAAGGGACCCTTCCTAACTTTTCAGGCTGTAAAAGGGATGGCGGGAGTTTTGTACTTTCAGACTTGCAAGATTCTATTCAAGTAGCCTTAGAATAAAGTACAGTTAGCTCATCTGGTCAGGTTTCTTATCTGGTCGGCCTGGGAAGGCTGACACATGCTGGATCTATCAAACAGGAATCTTGAACTTTGGCTGGAGATGATGGGGTGGAAGCCAGAGGTGGGTTTCAGCAGGTTCTGACCAGTTCTGGAGAACCGGTAGTGGAAATTTTGAGTAGTTTGGAGAACCGGTAAATACCACCTGTGACTGGCCCCGCCCCCATCTATTCTCTGCCTCCCGAGAACCAGCTGATTGGGAGGAAATGGGGATTTTGCAGTAACCTTCTTCTGCCACACCCACCATGCCACGCCCACAGAACCGGTAGTAAAAAAATTTGAATCCCACCACTGGTGGAAGCCCAATTCAACAAGAGGGACAGGATTGATGGTATTGCCCCTTTGAGCCGGAATAGGGGAGAAAGAAGAAGATTGGGTATAGGGGGGAAAGCCTCCCAGCACATTAGATCAAAGAAGGGATGGATATTCAAGGAACTACTCCCAAGAACATCTTGTGTGTGTGTGTGTGTGTGTGTGTCTTGAAGAAGATGACTCCGAGACACACTGGGCTTCTTTTCTTGGTGGCTAAAGCTCTGTGGTGTTGATTTTCCTTTGGGCTTCTTTGTGAGAGGAAAAGGAAGAAATAAATCCCCCAAACCCCCTTCCACCTCTTATAAGGGCTGAGTAACTCTAGAATTCCATCTGCCAGTTTCATTTCTATAGGTGTGAGATCGCAGGCTGGTTGCTCCTTGGCCCAGACTACAAACTCCAGTGTGTCCAATTCATTTTCTGTATGTGGTGGGCATAACTGCTCCCCCTTCTCACTAAACTTCATTCATCTGTTCACCTATCCAGCTGCTAATGCACAAGAGACAGAAGGAAAAGGCATTTAATTTCTACTCTCTCTCCCCCCCAACTCCCGCCCCCTGTTCTTTCTCCCCAGTTCCAACATGCAGAATATGGATTGCTATGAAGCCATTGTCAGAAGCCCTGGGAGAGCATGCCATTTTCCCAAGACAACGAATGATTATGTGAAAGCCAAGCACCTGGAAAAATTACATTTCCCCAAAGTCCCGGTGCTAGAATGTAATTTTCTGGAGAAAGCAATGGAGGGGAAAGAAAACGAGACGACACAGAAAAAGCAACGCAATGCCACAAGCTCTGGGCCAGGGTCTTTAAAATTATTCTGGGAGAACTAAGTACAGGTCGTCCTCGTCTCACAACCACCATTGAGCCCAAAATTTCTGTGGTTAAGTGAGACATTTGTTAAGTGAATTTTGCCCCATTTTACGAACTTTCTTGCCACAGTTCTTAAGTGAAACACTGCAGTTGATACGTTAATAACCCAGTCATTAAGGGAATTTGGCTTCCCCATTGTCTTTCCTTGTCAGAAGGTCGCCAAAGAGG